TTTCATTGCTCTCTGTGTCAAATGCTGATGTTAGGACAGTTTTCAGATAGGTTGCGACCACAATAAATATCGTCGTCGTCCCCCACAGATTTATCGTGTCCTTCTTCCTTAAAAAGGGGGAGCTGAACTTTCACCTATAAGGATGGATGAGTGAGTGTTCTCTCAAGGATGGGGGGGGGCTTCTTGCCTTGAACGTCTTTTGGGATCCAAGCTCAACTCAGACCCCAAGGGGGACTCATCCATACGATTTATTGCTTTAAGATGGTGGGAAAAATGGTTGGTGCATTGTACTCTTCTCGTATGCACTATTTTTTTTTTATAAGAGCCAGCCTGATCAGACCAAAAATAGAGTATTGTTGTGATGTCTGGCTGGAGCAGCCCAGACCTCACTTGCTTGTCTTGATAGAGTGCAAAAGCTTCGACGCGGCCTTATTGGCGATGAATTATTTCACAATCTACGACTCCTTTCCCATAGACGAAACATAGAAAACGCTAGCCTCTCACTACTCTGTCGCTATTTCCACGGCAGTTCTTCTGACGAGCTACGCCAGGCATAACCTTTTAATATGGGACCTGATTCATATGGCACCTGCTATTGGACCTGATTCATATGGGACCTGGTATGGGACCTGATTCATATGGGACCTGACACATATGGGACCTGACACATATGGGACCTGACTCAAATGGGACCTGACGCATATGGGACCTGAGTCATATGGGACCTGATATGGGACCTGACTCATATGAGACCTGACTCATATGGGACCTGATATAGGACCTGACTCAAATGGGACCTGACTCATATGGGACCTGATTCATATGGGACCTGATAGGGATCTGATTCATATGGGACCTGATTGATATGGAACTTGATATGGGACCTGATTCATATGGGACCTGATTCATATGGAACCTGATATGGGACCTGACTCATATGGGACCTGATTCATATGTGACCTGATATGCCACGCACACATAAATAAGTCATCGCTCATTCCCATCGTATTTCTATAGTAAGAAGTACAGTCCACTCAGACAGCTTCTTCAAGAACTGTTGCTCTGTGGAACAGATTCCCGGCAGGATCACTACAATCTTGGCCTTTTCAAGTCTAGGGTTAACCGTTATCTTTTCCATCATAAACAGTACTTTTTGCCTTTTCTTACATTTATAAAACGCCATACTGTAATCCTGTACCTTGAGTGACTCTTAGGCCTTATACTGGGTAAACATTGATAAAAAAAAAAATAAAATGTTAGTAATGCCCACTTCTGGTTTACGCCACACGAAGAAATAACCACTTGACACTTAAAGTCAGTGTAAAGTTGGGGTGTCTAAATTTAGGCTCTACTTTTGTATCGAGCACTGTTTTTTAAAAAATAATAACAAAAATACTAAAGAACTTTGGATTACTTACCCAACGAGTTCTTTCCTATTTTCTATATATTTTCACACACACACACACACACACACACACACACACACACACACACACACACACACACACACACACATATATATATATATATATATATATAACCAAATGGGTAATATAGGTAGGTATACGAGCGAACTAGCGTATACAAATACATATAAATACTCGATATTGTAAGAAAAAAACTGTGCTCAATGTTAAGTAACAGAGCTATTTAATATATATTAAGAAATATACATAATATCTTATATTAATTGCACAACTCCGAGTTTCATGTCGAAGCAATTTTCAACTGCTGGAATTAGTACATTTACTTTTTATTATTATTATTATATATATATATATATATATATATATACTCTCGACTCTCCCGTCGAATTCGACGTATGAGGGTCAAGCAGATCAGTTACCAGGAAACCGACAGCCCGACAACAGCACATGAGATTTGATTATAGTGGTGAAGGTTTCGTGCAGAACCATCCACACTTTTTGAAGGGCCGAATACAGAGACCTGGTGCACTACGTGCCACAAGGTCCCCAAACACGACCCTCCGCAGGTTTTGAATTCAGAGTTGTCCTTCTCCTAGACCAGTTGCCATCCAATTCTCCATGTAATATCGACCTGACTAACCGAAACGCTCCTCTGTGGCGAAATCGGTAAAAGCACGTCAGGCTATATGAAGGTTCCGTATAGGATACAGGTTCGATTCCTGTCCGGGGACGCATATTTTCTATGAAAATTTCTTGGACCTTCATTCCGGTAAATGTTGTTTAATACTGTTTATTATGAACAGAGCATTTACTTAAAAATATTTGTATTTATAAAAAAGAATGTATGAATATAAAAATATCTTAAAATATGTAGAGGTTCGCAGGATGATGACTCCCGCTAAGACCTTTATTCGCTTGAAGCCATTTTTAACCATTGATCTAAGAAATCAGTTGTATACAACTGACAGTTTAGGTATTTCTCGGTTGATTGGGTGACGTGCATGACATCTATATAAATGTCTCGGTCGGATGTGTTATTTAAAACTCGATTTTTAGGTAATGATATAAAGTCAATAATTTTCCGATTCTTACAAGTGTTGTGGCCGAAGAAAAGTCTACAGAATGCTAATCTGTAAAATTTATTCTCCCAAAATTTTCTCCCAATTTTTTTTATGAGTGGATCATTCTATTTAATTAATTCCCAGCATCAAAACATTTCGCTCATAAAAAAATATTAGCATTTGCAACATGCATTTGACCGATAGAAAACTTTGTTATCAATGCAGCTAATGTAAAGATAAAAGTCCGAATAATGATTTATTAAAAATGACTATATTCCTATGTTGCGCCAGAAAGGTCTTCTCGCCAGAGTTCATCGTTCAAATCTATAAATCAACCATTCGCCCTTGCATGGAATACTGCTGCCATATATGGTCTGGTAGCCCCATTGTTCATCTCAAGATCCTTGACAAAATCCAGAGGCGGATATGCAATGAGATTGACCCTGATCAGGCATCTCGTCTACAGTCGCTCTCTCACAGACGTGCCGTCGCCTCCTACTGCCTTTTCTACAAATACTTTCACGGTAACTGCTCCGACGAGTTCCCAGACTGCAAGAATTTAAGCGTGCTACTAGCCTGGGATCACGGTCCCACCCTATCACTGTTGAAACGGTTAAATGTGACCATCTCTTCTACTCCAATAACTTCATGTCTCGCACTTCTCGCCTGTGGATCTCCCTCCCCTTTTCCTTTTTTCCTGATAGCTATAATCTCCAACTATTCAAATGTTATGTCAATCGACATCTCCAGATGCCTTGATCTATTCCCTGCTCTTCTCTTCATCCTTTTCTCTATCACGCCTCTTTACTCTTGCTCCCATTCTCTGTAACCCCTTGCGTGCTAGTGGCACTCCCGCCTTGCTTGGGGTGAAAAGCTTAAAAAAAATTCCACTTATTTCTGTTAATTTCCTTAGACGTAGGTAACTGTCTATCTAACTGGGATGAACGTTCACGAGACTTCATTTTGATATCAGTTTCATCATTCCTTCTGTTCGAATATTTGTTTTATTCGATTGGAGACTTTACTTATCAATCAATCATCGTAGGATTCAAAGGAAATAAATTGACTTCATTTTGATACCAGTTTCACTACTCTATCAGGTCTAAAACTATTTTTTGTTATAGATTTAAAGACTACTTATCAATCAACTCTCGTAATTTTGAAGAGCAATAAATTGACTTCATTTTGATACCACTTTCATTATTCTATCTTGGCTAAAACTGGTTTCATAGGATTGAAGACTTTACGTTGCAATCGCTACTCGTAATTTTGAAGACAAATAAATTGACGTCCTTTTGATACCAGCTCCATTGTACTATCTCGTATAAAACTTGTTTTATAGGACTGGAGATTTTACCTTATCAAACAACTCTCTTAAGTTTGAAGATAAATATATTGACTTCTTTTTTTTATACCAGTTTCATTATTTTATCTTATCTAAAACTTGTTTTATAACATTGGAGGACTTACATGTCAATCAACTTTCGTAATTTCGAAAGGAAATAAATTGACTTCTTTTTTATACTAGTTTCAACTATCTAGTCTAAAATATATTTTATAGATTTAGATACTTTACATATCAACTAACCTTAGTAAATTTGAATATACATTTACTTCAAGATGAAAGTAATGAATCTCCCTCTATAGCAGGCGTTAAGTAGAGGCTTGCTTAGTTGAGATTTATCTGGCACAAATCAATGATGGTGAGGAAGGATGAGGCTCAGACGGACATCAATATTTTTAAAGAAGCGATTATATTGTTTAGTTATTATTAACAAAGGCGTTTACTTCAATTTTCTTGCGGTCACAGCATGTAAAATAATTATCCGTAATCAGGACAAGAAAAGTTGGAACAATTGTTTCGTCTCCAATTCTCGAAAATTCTCCCTCCGGATGCCAATCGCTGTTGGGGCTAGCCGATCTCTCATTAGTGGAAGAAGATAAAAAAACTCAACTCAAAGTAAGGGTTATCGCCCTTTTCCCATCTATTCTTCTCCTTCGTTGTTATCCAATTTTATCGTCAAGTTCCGTGTATTTTTTTTTCCTTGTTTTTCTTTCGCATCCCAGGTTGATATTGTTTTATTTTTTTTTAGCCACTTCTTTCTTTTGCCTTTTTTTTTCTTTTTATTCCTGTTAAAGAAATGCTTCGGTTATTAAAGACTAATTCCTCTTCCGTCATTGATCAGCGTCATTATCTTCCGCTAGGCACGCAATGGCTACCTACTGATCCATAAAAAATAAAAATAGAAAGATTTCCGAAAAATACAGAAAAAAAAAACCATTATTATTTTAATAAATCGAAATAAATGGACAAATATTGATGAAATTGTGGCAATGTGACTGTTAAGAAGTGACCTTGTATAAGTGATAAATGACAACCATCCAGTCGATATGATCCGGGTTCGAATTTTACAGTAGAATCCGTTATATTCATTTATGCACAAATACATTTGGGAAAGGTAGGAATCCGCCTCTTTTCCCCCAGCTGTGGGTTAAATAGTATGATTAACAGATGGAAGAATCATTAACTTCCAAAAATTGATAATGCCATATTCACATTATCTATCTATCTATCTATCTATCTATTTATCTAATTCAATTAATATCTATCTATCTATCTATCTATCTATCTATCTATCTATCTAATTCCGTTAATATCTATCTATCTATCTATCTATCTATCTATCTATCTATCTATTTAATTCCGTTAATATCTATCTATCTATCTATCTATCTATCTATCTATCTATCTATCTGTCTGTTCGTATGTATGTATGTATGTATGTATGTATGTATGTATGTATCTATCTATCTATCTATCTATCTGTTCGTATGTATGTATGTATGTATGTATGTATGTATCTATCTATCTATCTATCTATCTATCTATCTATCTAATTCTGTTCATATCTATCTATCTATCTATCTATCTATCTATCTATCTATCTATCTATCTAATTCTGTTCATCTTTCTATGATTTTTTTAATAAATCTCGTCCTCACTCACCCTCCTCACCGCTATAACGTACCTTCCCTGTGCCGTTTCTATAAATATTTCCATGGTAACACTTCTTTTGAGTTTTGATTCCTAGAATTTATTAATTAATCATTCTACTAGATTGGTAGTTAGCACTTATCATTTTACAATTGAAATGGCGAGATGTAACCGTAAGTTCTATGCTCACAGTTTCTTCTCCCGCACCTCTCGCTTGTAGAACTCACTTCCGGGTTCTTGCTTTCCAGTCAACTTTGATCATTATAAATTTATATGCCATGTTAATCACTATATTCTGTCTTCTTAATTCCTATTCTTTTAGTGTTCTCTCTGCTAAATAATGTTTTCTTTTTCTCATATTCTCTCTCGGTCAGTAACCCCCTTTCGTCTTAGTGGCTTTGTTGCCTTACTTGGAGTGAAATTATTGAACAACTGACATCAATCTTTATTAAGAGAAAAGTTATATTTTGTGTGTACACGTGAATGAATAGACTTCCCCAATTTTTTCTGTAAACAGGCTTATAGATGGAGACGTCTTATTAAAGAAAATGTGTCTCCCGACAAAAATCAAATCTGTATTGCCTTTTTCAATCACTTTTAAGCTGGAATCTCTATGCTCGTAGACATTAATCTCACTGATATACAAACAAAAATAACAGCGATTTATTTTCAAGCCCGTGTACAGATGAAATTTAATCTTTAGATAGATAGTAGTTGGTGAAGCAGGCATTGTTAAGGAGAATTGACAAAATTCTCAATATCAATAAGAAAAGGAAGAAGAACAGGACAAAATGATACGAGACAAGACAATAGAATGCAAGGCAAACCAAGGGAAAGCGATTATAAAACAGTAACAAAGTAAAAAGTTCATAAAATATAAATAATGTTCCCTTGCAAAAGGGATACAGTCAAGTGGTTCTGACTTGAAGACAAGAAAGAAAAAAATGTGTGAGTAAGACAAAGATTTGGCTACTTTTGTTGGCTACTGTTATACCTGACGTACCTATTCTATTATTAATAGACTCTCCCACACATAATAAGTAGTAGTAGCAGTGGCCACTTCGGCTCAGGGGTGTTGAGCGAGTTAGACGATGTCGGACATTGAAGTACCGACCATCACAACTAGATTGCTGCGTCATTAACTCTTATTTCCAAGTTCCTAACGTTTTGTACGTCGAACCTAATTTAGGACGACATTGAAATACAAGCCTCCACTGTGAAAACTACTCTACAACAGCTACAAAGATATCCCAGCATGCATCTGAAGGATTTGTCTCCGAATCTAGAATCTAGATTGAAAGCAACAGTAGTAGTTGTAGTAGTAGTAACAATAATAATAATAATCTTAATAATAACAATCTTAATAATAATACCAAATACACATAATGAAAACTGTGTTGACCCCAAATGTAGATTATGTGATAAATATCCAGAAACAAATGACCATTTTGTATCAGGCTGCACAGTGTTAGCACCAACTGAATATAAAACTCGGCTATAAAAGACGCCAATATCAGCACTGGAAAATATGCAACCTTTACGGAAAGGAAAGTGCAAGAAACTATTATGAACATCGCCCACACCCGGTTACAGAGATAGGACCTGTAACAATTTTATGGGACTTTAAAATATACAAAGACAGAATAATCAAAGCTAATCTTGTAGGAGACAGCAAAGCAGATGGAATACAACAAATCCAAATGAAGGAGAAAGAAAAGAACACTACAGATGTGTGCATCATTCAACTCTGCATAGAGTTGAATTCGCGAAACAGAATATCAGCCATAAAGACTTTGGCTGTCCCTGTCGTGCAATACAGTTTCAACAACCTTAACCTGAGCATAACTGACATTAAGCGAATGGATGTCAATAGATGTATGCTTCTTGCAATTGAATGCATCATCCTAAGGCTGATGTTGATCATCTGTATGTGTCCAGATCTAAAAGATTAGTTCAACTAGAACTGTCTTACAAAACTACAAGAGTCTTCAAAGATACCTAAAAACTACAGAAGACTGAATGATGGTCTGTGTCTTGGAACAGGAAATAAACTTTATTCAGTAATAAAGGAAAGAGAAAAAAAAAACCAGAAAAGAAAATCAATGAACCAAATACAGAAATGATGACAAGATAAACCTTTTCATGGTCAATACTCTGCCTGTGTGAAATGATCTTATGAAAACAATCTCCATACTCAACACTGGTTATATAGCGTCGGATTAAAAGCTGAAACTGAAGGTTTTATGCTTGCTGCACAAGACTAATACTTGCTAACTAGAAATTACCAAGCACACAGACTGAAAAACTGTGTTAACCCCAAATGCAGATTCTGTGATAAATATAATAACAATTTCCCTTGGCCTAGAAATATCGGGATGATATCGTTCCTTAAAGATGCCTGGAAACTACAGAAGTCTGTAGATTAGTCTCTGTCAAAGAACATGAAAGAAACAAGAAACTTTATTCAGTAATAAAGGAAGCCAACAAATTCAAGAGGATGAAAAAGTGCCAATAAACCAGAATACACCTACTGCAGCAACAAAAAAACTAAAAGAAAATCAAATCAAATGCAATGTACCAAATGCAGAAACGATGGAAAGATAAACCTCTTCACTGGCCAATACTCTACCCTTACCAAATAAGCTGCTGAATATGAACACGTATGTATCAGTAGATACGTAGTGCATCTGTTAAAAGCTGCAACCAAAGGTTTTCTTGCAAAGGTTGCACAGGACCAATGCTTGCTAACTAGAAATTACCAAGAACACATACTGAAAAATGATGCTGACCAAAAATATAGATTCTGTGATAAATATCCAGAAACAAATGACCATTTTCTATCAGGCTGCACAGTGTTAGCACCAACTAAATATAAAACTCATCATGATAGAGTGGGCCAATATCTGCACTGGAAAATATGCAACTTTTACGGGGAGGAAACTGCAAGAAACTGGTATGAACATCACCCAGACTCAGTTACAGACATAGGACCTGTAGAACGTCATATTTTTATGATAAAGATATTTTCGTTTAAAAGGGTCGATTCTTTCACACACCATATTTAAAAAAAAAAAAACTAATCCCTCCATGGTAACGAGCAGTTTGTAAAACCACAAAATAGGGTGCTGAAAACTTCCTGGTCTGACCAAGACTCTCTTCCATCCCCACAAAAATTTTATTTAAATTTAAAAAAATCTTCTCCCGCGTTTCTCGCTTGTAGAACTCACTTCCGGGTTCTTGGTTTCCAATCAGCTTTGATCATTATAAATTTATATGCCATGTTGATCACTATATTCTGTCTTCTTAATTCCCATTCTTTTATTGTTCTCTCTGCTAAGTAATGTTTTTTTTTTTTTTATCTCATCTTCTCTCTCGGTCAGTAAACCCCTTGCGTCTTAGTGGCTTTGTTGCCTTACTTAGAGAAGACAGAATATAGCAATTAACATTGCATATAAATTTATAATGATCAAACTTGACTGGAAAGCAAGAACCAGGAAGTGAGTTCCACAAGCGAGAAGTGCGGAAGAAGAAACTGTGATAGATAGATAGACAGATAGATAGATAGATAATGAACCGAGATAGATAGTTAGATAGATAGATAATGAACCGGGACAGACAGATAGATAGATAATGAACCGAGATAGATAGATAGATAGATAGATAGATAGATAGATAATGAACCGAGACAGATAGATAGATAATGAACCGAGATAGATAGTTAGATAGATAGATAATGAACCGGGACAGACAGATAGATAGATAATGAACCGAGATAGATAGATAGATAGATAGATAGATAGATAGATAGATAGATAATGAACCGAGACAGATAGACAGATAGATAGACAGATAGATAGATAGATAGATAGATAATGAACCGAGACAGATAGATAGATAGATAGATAGATAATGAACCGAGTTAGATAGATAGATAGATAGATAATGAACCGTTAGATAGATAGATAGATATTAACAGAATTAGATAGATAGATAGATAGATAGATAGATAGATAGATAGATAGATAGATAGATAGATGTCATTGACTGTATCCATTTTGCATGGGAACACTATGCTCAATGGCGTTTAAATAAGTCGGGCACTGAGGTGTGGGAGTCAGTGGGACATCTGGAATGGTTCGAATGTTTCTGGAAAAAAAATATCGCATCATCTTTTCCCGGTGGAGGCGGTTCGTTACATATTGAAATAAATCGTCTTCAAAGAGGAAACATGGTGAGAGTAAAAGGATTGAGATGGTCTGCAACAAGGTATGAAAGATTCTTGGTGGTCCTTTGGGAATTCCAACAGAATGCACCCTATGCCATTACAGACTCGTCTCCATCTTGAAAAATACCCTGCCGGGTCCATAGCCACATGCAGTGTCCTCCATAGATCAACACAGCACTGGAAACACGACCCATTCACTAGTGGCCATTGCCCATTTCAACAGAGCAGACCCCAACAGGATTACAGAGTCGCCACCAGCTTGCTGGGTCCATAGGCTCATGCAGTGTCCGCTAAACACGAATTCAGTCATCGACATTTATTCTGTCATCAATGTTAAATCCTTTCCGCATCGCATATTTGCAATAGCTATATCGCCACAGCTACATTACCTCTTTATCTATTACGTCACGCATATGTAATCAAACT